TTCCCAATAAATAATGTAAACTGAGTCTTCTGCCTAATTTCTTTTCAATTTGGTCTGTGCTGACCAGACTAGGGCTTTTACTTTATGAAAAATTATGCAACTAATAAATACTAACTAATAAATTGCTGTGGAGTTAACGAAAATAGCTTAGTTCTACAAGTAGAGCTATGAACTAGAATGAAGCTCTACTTTTAGTTCAGTGCACCTAAAGGGTTTGAAATCTTTGAGGGGTAGGATCACATAATTAAATATACCGCAATATGTGATATAACAAAGGTGTGGAATTAAAGTAACAAAGGCTACCTGGATTTTTTCCTTTACAGTGACTGGTTTTGCTTCTTTTATATTGTTTTAGCAGAATTGTTGCATGTACTAAATAATTAGAATAAGGTGTAGGTAGGCAGTAAACATACAAAGCTCATTGAGCTCATTCCCTGACCTTTGCCAAAGTAATGCCTTATGTCCAATTTTTAGCATGTATAGTACATTTGGGACTGTATTTCCACGTTTCCTTTAGTGTCTACATTTGCTTTCACCACTAATGAATTGTGGGTGCCAATATTAATACTTTTACTGATAAATTCTTGATATACAGCTTTTCTACTATAAATTAGAAAGGGAGCCAAAAACTTCAGAAAGCAGAAGCTGATACACAAACTCACTGTATATTAATTGTCACTTCTAAAGATCTTTTCCCGATGTCTATCTGCAAATGACTTAATCGTCCATTAAGAAAAGAAGAATATGGAATTTAAGGTGTTCATAAGTGAACCATGTAAAGAAGCCGTTTTCAGCAGTTTATCTGAGCTTTAGGGTATATGATTACAGTATGCACGAAAAGATCATTTTATTTTCCAAACTATGGGGCATACACTCACTTCAGTAATAAGTTTCTTCATTTTCTAGTCATAAAATCAATCTCCATACAAACAGTGCATGTTCTTTCTTTCTCTCTTTCTTTTTTTAACAGAAAGTGAAATAACAATTACAATCTCGTTCTGTAGAAGACTTTCAAGGATGGGAGCTAAAAGTCTTCCTCCAAACTCAATCCTATCTCTTGCCGAGAGAACAGGGAAGCAGCAGATAAGACATAGGGAAAATATTTAATGACATTTAGCCGTTCACGAACATTTAAAAGCCAATTACTGACTTAAAAGCTCAGGTTGTCTAGGTAGCAGCAGTTATAATATGTCATTTATTTTGTGTAGATAGGTCATTACACTTAGCATTATTGCTACCGTGTCCAGTGATGTCCAGTGGAAATACCATAAAGAATTCAGCAACAGATGAGTAAATAAACCAGAGACTGGAAAATAAGGCGGTAAATAAGCTTAACCTGTTCAGCTAAATGAAGAGGAGGATGAAAACTAATTTGATCACAGGGTATACATGCTTATACTTGGAAGCTGAAAATAATTAAGCAGAGACATTTCAGTCTTACTGACAAATGTGCATTTACCTAACTTCAACTTTCAGTCAGTGTCTCAAAACTCTTCCTATTGTAAGCCAGAAGCTTTCCAGTCGTTGGAAGCTGAAGTTAAAAACACTCTTGAAACAAGCAATTTCTTAGCAGAGAAAGTAATTAAAGATCAGAACATGCTGTTGCTTCACATGAAGACTGTGCATTCACCGTTAATTTGAACACTGTTCTAAAACCAGGGCACATTAATCCAGCTTCGGAGAGAAATTGTACAGTCTGTGTGAAAGGACTGATGAGAAAGGACTGGTATATGTATTTGCTACAGGCTGTCTAACGGATTCCTTGTTATTGCCAGGATACAAGGCATTAGTGGAAACTTTAGTCTGTCCTGTTGCTCTGAAATGCTTTCATCTTACTCAGGTTCTCAGGCTTGAGTAGATAGGGATAACTAGTTGGCCTCAGAGTACTGAGGACAGAGTGCATCCCTCTGGACTTCAGTTGTATGCAATGACCGATGGCTGTGAAAGATCAGCAGTAGCTTTCAAAGGAAATCCTTTATGCCAGAGCCTTTGCACAAGCAGCACATTGCACTAGTCCAGTGGGCCAGGCTGCTGGAGCTGCCAGGTAGAAATGGGATCTAACACGTAGCGCCACATCCTGGGCTGCAGAACAAGCCTCCTTGTGGGTGGCTTGTTCTTGTTTTGGCTACTGCTGTAGCCAAAAGCAGCATGTTGGCAGCGTGGGTATGCTAACTTGGAGCATCACTGTGGTGTTAGGTCACTCATATAGCTTTATCTTCACTTGTTCTCCCCTGGTTTATGTCTAGGAGAATATATATCAGGTGCAGGATCCTCACTCTTCGTTGTAATTCACTTCTTCTGAGGGGCATATGCACTGTGGATGAGGAATTGTACCAAAGAGAACGCAAGGCTCCTAGAATTAGCAGGTAGGAGTCTTCCAGTTCTATCAAGACATAGAGACGTCAGCATCTGAGTTATTCGTCTAGGCTGACTTTCTGTTAAATGATGAGAAGTAGGCAATTTTAGGGCATCATTCATCTCATCCCATAGTCGGTATCTAAACAAATAGTTTAGACGAATGCCCTGAAAGTGGTTACTTCTCTTCTTTGATTGCACTGGCAGCCTAGCATGGCCAGGTCACTGTAGATGGCTGTGCAGCAGATGCATAAAGGAATGGGAATGAATCTCATCCATGTGAAAAGGACATAGTCTATTAAACAAAAGCAGCTAGCACTGCAAAACTGAATCTACTTCTTTTAAGCACAGTGGGCCCAGGGTGATTACTGAACGCTCCATACACACTACACTAAATCAGTCAGCTATTTTCTCTACCCCCATTATTAAAAATGTGTTAAACGTAAGGTTTTCCTTTGCTCTTTTGCTGTCTAGAAGCCTGTCCCTTTTGCCATTAGCACCATGTATAATGTCAATAACGTCATTACTGATTAAGAAATTACATAGTAGTAGGCATGACAGGAAGTATTACAGTAGGCAGCTGCTTTGAACAGCTATTCAACAATGATAAGGAATCAAAATGAATAGCATGCATATCTATTTAAATGTAAGAATAATATACCAAGGAAGTTTTCTCAGTGTTGTTGCAACTTCTGGAAAAAAATCACTGTAGCTTCTTTTCTAAAGACATACCATTTCTCTCTAACAAAGTGCTACTCCTAAATTATCTGGCTATTTTTTGGGCTAGATCGGTAATTAGATATTGTTCTAATGCTGTCATTGAAGTTTCAGCCATCAGTGTCATACTTTGTGAAAGAAAATGTCTTCTGTTTGTAGCATATCTTCTTATGATATTACTAGTTCAGAGAATCTTACTACAATATCATCAATATAGAAATTATTTCATTCCTGTATACATTTCTTTTGCAGCATACTTTCTTCAGGAAGCTATTATTCTCATTATTATTACTAACATTAGTACATTTCCATCACCAATTTTTCCAGCCTTAGTGACTGCAAAAGTTATATGTGCAAAAAGTATATGTGCAAAAAGTATACGTGCAAAAGTTACAGCATATGTTGACAAAAATGCACAAGCACAGGAACATGGTTTAACACACACAATGTCCATAAGACTCCATTGTCCTACTGCAGAAAAGCTTCCGACACGCCCTAGGTTTGCATGTAGTTAGGAGAGCTAGTGTTCTTCTGTATCCTGTCCACTGACGGGCCTCACGTTAGTGCCCAGCCAGAAGCATGCACCATTGACCAGCACTGCTAAATACAAAAACAAATAAAGTAAAAATGAAAGTAAGGGATTGGAGAGAGGAAGCTGGAATTTGTTCAGTTATAACAACTGGAGGCCAAATGGGATGTTCCTTCTTACACATAGTGAGACTGGTGCTTAGATAAGCAAAGGAAATGGGGGAAGAAAACAGCTGTGAAGTGCTTTTCCCAAGATCACACAGAAGGCCAGCTGCCAGCACAGCAGGTTGGCTGGGACTCTCACTCCTGGTGCAAAAGCTATGTGACCTCCAGCATCTCCAGTGCAAGCCACCGAGTTTAAACGTAGTCATGGTTATGATACCTGCAATCAAAAGTAGCCGAGGAGAAAATTTCGTAGTTTGCCATCAGCTAGTTTCCGTATCCGAAAAACAACCATTAGAGGCTTCAGGAAAGATATCCTGACCATTATTAATTTGCAGCAGTGGTACACTGATGACATAAATAAAGGGAAATAACAAACGGTATTTGTTGTAATAAAAACCCTCTCTTGCCTCTGGCATTTTAGTAATTTCTTTTGTTTGGCTCTTAAAGTAAATAAATGATTCTGTTGTATAAAACATATACCATGTACATTGGGTAGGAATATGGAGGAAGGCTCCAGATGTCGGATCAGGGACTCCATCCTGGATTAGTGAAAGCCTGAAAAGGATCAATCTAGCAGAGAGAGGGTTTTCAACGGTCCTCTCATGACTAAACGCTCCTACTTTAAGTAAGTCATATAAGAGCACATTTGTAATGTATGCCCACAGCCAAGGTTAGCAACTGGCAGGTACTCTCAAAGTGCTATAATGGGCTAGAGCTCTCCGAAAAAGTGAGATTTCATCTTCACAGCTACGCTGAGCCAAAGCAGGAGCTGGAATTAGAAGTGCTGTCATCCACCCGGAACTCCTCTGCTTTGGCATGGTAACACACTAACTTAAGGTATTGTGAAAATATTACTTTTAAATATAAAGCTTGGAAAGCTGGCTAGGGTAACCGGCAATATGACACTGTTTCACTGCCTTTTTTTTCTTTATTTTTAGAAACCCCATTTTGGAGAGAAAGAAAGATATCTTTAGCCTAAAATGTGAACATTCTGCTATACTGTCCTATTAAGCACCCAAACCTTAAAGACATGCAGTTCCTTAGCTCCCCAGTGGCACATTTTAACTCTACTGTACACCTTGATCCAGGTTTGATCCATGCAGCCACCTTTCTCTGAGACAGAAGAGGTCAGTTCATGGAAGTAAACATTTCTAGCCATGTTGCAAATGTTGTGCTATAGCTTCTGCTCTCACTAATTTATTAGCAAAGCATCTCTGAGGCACCTCGAGAAGCGGATGGTGCATTGCAGAAACGGGGTGGAGGAAGCTAGAGCAGGTGGGAGCTCGCCTGCCGCCCATCGCCTTCCTGCCCCGCAGCCCGGCCGCGGCTCGCTCTGCCTCGCGGCCACCCTGGGCAATCCTGCAGCCCTGCCCCTGCCCACCTGCTGTCCGCCCACCCGCCGCCTGGCAAGGGCCTGCTGGGAACGCCGGAAAAGGTATTAATAGGCTATCTCAGAGCGAGGGTCAACACGAGCGCATACAGACGGCTTAAATTAGTGTACTGTACTTGCAGCAATAGCTGAAAGTTTCTGTCACTGACAGCCTCTTGAAAAGAAATGTGGCCTCTGTGCCTGTGACAAACCATTATTTCATTCCCTAAAGTTATGTCTCGGGACGGCCACAGTAATGAGTTATCAGATATTTTTAACAGGGCTTATTTGCCTCCTTCTGTTTAAGTGCGTAGTGTAAAATTCTGAGTGATCTCAGGAGGTGAATAGCTGGAACAATGCAGATTTCTGTAAAAATTCCAAATAAAGTCAGCCCCTTGGTTATGAATGAGCACATAAGTGTATCTAAGAGAGCAAGTTTTTTTCTCACAAAGTGAATAGATTATGTTAAATGAAACAAATGGAAGTAGATGTAGATAATGAGGACTTAGTGTGGCAGTCATTTCAGACTTTTATTTTTCAAATTCCCCCACAAAAGCAAAAGACTTCCAGTCTTGCTCTATTTTAATGCCTAGGAATCAATACTAAAATCTCAGTGGACTTTGTGGGTTGAAAATTAGTTACAGGAGTACAGACTTTGCTCTTCATACTATGACAAGCCAGCATCCAAACTGACCAACGTAACTGTAGTGTTCCCTTTTCACAGAGCAGTGATTAGTACCACCACAGATAGATATTTGCATATCCTCATACGGTGTCATCACAGTTTTTCAAATAAACACAGTTTCACTCTTGTATAACCAAGTTTAATAACCCAACCGGAATTCAATAACCAACCCTGGAGGATATGTTTCTAGCAGCATAACTTAGGTTTTTTAGCTCATGGGAGAAAACTGATATTTTTGGCCCACGTACAGAAAATAAGTTACTGGAGACAATATTCAACCAACCTTGAAAGTGTGAATAAAGGAAGGTAAATGAAAATTAAGATAGAATGAGATATAACTTTCAGTTTGGAAAATGTGACCCTGTGTGTTTTTATAGAGGTAAGCTGCAACCAGAATTTCATGAAGTAACTTCTCAGTTCTCTAGCATCCTCCATCTGTGCATCTCAAACTTTATCCATATTTTAGTGCAGACAGATATTAACGTCATCATTTGAAGGAGTGGTAAGCTAAGATCCAGAAACTCAGACGAACTTTGGCTTTTCAGTCATCGGCAGAATGTGGAAACAGAAACATAGCACCCTGATGTGTAATTTCCTGCTTCTATAACATGGCCTTTCTCAATATAAACCATAAAAAAATCAGGCCCAGATTTGCTCCCACCAAGGAATATGCATGCACTTGTCTGATAGCAGACTGTGCTGCTATTCTTTTTATAAGAAATAGTTCAGGCCACACCTAAATACCAAGCAATGAACATTTGAGGCATTTGAGCCATTCATTTCCCAGACAACATATCTGATGGTGAATGGCAGAGGATGTTGTGTGGTTCCCCTCCCTCCCCGCACTGTAGGTCTTGCTGCTGTATCTTTATCATACTTTCTGCAATGGCATGTCTACTTTGGGAAATGATGATTCCAATGTGGGTGGATGGAAAGAAATCTGCCAGAGGGTGCAAATCTCAAATTGCTGCCGCGGATACACCCTTCTGTGCTGTCTTCTCGAGATACTAGAAAAAGTCTCTGAGGAATTCCTGGAGCTTGACTCTCTAAGTAACAATATGGTTCCACACCCCATATTTTTTCCTTCAATATTAAGGAAACAAACAAACAACCTAAGTACCGTTAATGAATTCAAAAAAACCTAAATACTTATTTTTAGAGGAAGCCGTTATAAAAATCTTACTAGAGCTGGTGAAAAATTCTTATATTTGTCCCATTTGTCCCATTATCGGGCTCAGAAAATGGTTTAAAATGCTGCTTCAGAGTCAAGGTGACTTAATTTGGTGATCTTTACACTAAAGTTAGATTCCCTCATTTTTCAAAATCAGTATCCTTAGAAGCATTTCAAGGCAGGGTGTAATACTTACCGTTCCAACTGTGAGATTTTGCTCTATAAAATAAATGTCCATAAAAAAGGCTAAGAAAAAAATGAAAGCCACGATTATAGACAGTAACTAAATACTAAGCAATTCCAAGGAAGTGCTAGAAAAGTAAAAAGTTGATGTTTAAAATAATGTTAGTAGAGATACCATCTCTACCTCAGAAAATAACATGCTTTTCTCAGAAGAGAAGAGTGCCTGTCTAGCTGGGTAAACTGATTACTCAGTTTCTGGTTCCTTGCATATCTGTTCTTATTAAAAGGAAGTGCAGAAGTTCAGTGGGATATATACTGTAGCCTGTGCTGTTGACTCTGGTTCAGGGAGGAAGCTGATGCAGAGAGGAAAATGAAGATTTCAAAGGCAGATAGAATATTTATGGTGAAGTATTAACTCAAGAAGTCACTTGCTTAAGAAAGGTTTTGCTTATATAAATATGAAAAATTGTTTTACATCACTATTTAAAGTCTTTATTCCCTCAGTGTAGTGTATGACAGACTTCCCTGGTGGATGTTTCACTCAAATTCCGAGTCAGTCTGCAATGACCATATATATTTAATGTTTTGTACATTAAAACTGTTGGCTGATATAACTATTTCCTCTTTCTTGAATTCAGTAGATCTAGTCTGCTTTCTATTAGCTTCTATATGTGCCTGTGCCACCTAATATAGTACTTATCAGGACATTCAGCTAGCTCACAGTTTCTGTGCATCAAAGCAAAATGTAAACAACAAGGAAATAAGCAGGTCTGTTTGCTTATCCTAGACCCCATTTATACTGCACACCCAAGCTCTGCTGCTTAGCCCATCAACCTTCTTTTCCATGGATACGAACTGACATTATGTCTTCCTCCCAACAGGCATGGTTAATTACTGCAAATGTATAATGATTAGAAATCATGAGATTTGATGAGTAGTATAGGGTTGGAGTTGCTTCCACAAATTACTGTCTGTAGCAGTATGCATCATTCAAAATGAATATATATATATTTATGTGGTATAGTAAAAAAAAAAGTGACTACATGATCTATGTTATTGATTTAAAAATGGCATTCTGTTTATGAACAAATTATAGAAATGAGATTCATCAAAGTGTGAGCTTCAGTGCTGTACGTTTATGGACAGAATTAGTGCTATATGCTGGCTACTGAGGAAGAGGGAGAAAATACACTATTTTCTTACAGAACTCAAGATCTTCTGATATCAGAACACTTTCAGGATTGTGTGGTAAAGCTTCACCAGTCCACCATGAAGTCTCATAAACAAGCTAAAAATCCATATTCTTGTAAATTTGGTATTGCCCACCAAAAGAAAAAGCCAGAGGTTTTGATACTACAGTTGGCATTGTGTGAACAATATATTAAGCAGCCATACGAAGTCTTAATGCTTTGCTGACACTTATTTTTGCTTTATTCCTTTGACATAGACATATTTTAAAAAGTTACCTGTGTACATAATACACAAGAACACAGAAGCTGTATGCAGTTTAGCAAAAAATAAACAAACAAGAAAAATGGTGTGATGTGACTTAAGCCGTTAAACTTACATCTCTGTTACAGTTTTTGCGGGCATAGCTGTGGTTACAGACAGACATTCTCTTTTAGACCTAGTTGTGTAGCTGAAGATAGTATTGTTTATAGCCTCTTCCTGGTGTAGG